TAAAACAGCAATATTCCCAAATGCTCTACCCTCCGAATTGGGCTTCTGCATGCTGTTTAGACCTGGAACACAACCCCAGCTACAAAGACAGAAGAATCATTTGCCTGGGCATCCTGCTACACTAACAAGAGTAGGGTATGCATGTAGTTCAGAAAGGTGAGAGAAGAGACCGTGAAGGGCAACCCACATGGTCTGCCCTTGGGCTGAGCAGAATGAATTCCTGTAAGGCTCTTATGTCGGGTTCAATGTCATTACTCATACTGTTTGCTGCTTAACTTGTTCTTGCCATAGGAAAGAGGAAGCCATACCTATCCATGTCCTAAATGAGAAAGGCATGTTGTAATCAGATGTCACCTTGTGGGCCAACAACCAGAGAAACAAGGTAACAGGTTGACTCCTGTCTGTAGGGCTGGACCCCGCAGACTCTTTCCTTGTCTTCTATTAAGATAAGATTGGGTGTGCTGTGGTTTTAAACTGTTCATGTATGATTGTGGACCTTAGGGCCAGAGCAGTGTGTGTGTGTGTGTGTGTGTGTGTGTGTGTGTGTGTGTGTGTGTGTGTGTGTGTGTTCCATTCTCATTGATTGGTGTTTGTAGCTCATTATGACATTGCCTGCTGATTTCTCTCTTTCATTTTTCTCTAAATTTACGTGTTTTGAAAAATTCTGATTTCCTACTCTTGTTACCACAGGTGGTCATTATGATATGTTTATCACAGGTGTGCAGGTAGTTGGTTTTTTTGTTCTTTTTTCTTCCTTCCATCCTTCCCTTTTTCTTCCCCATCCCTCTATTTTTGGACATAGTCTCACGTAACACAGGCTGGTCTCAAACTCTTGCTTTGGAGTCGATGACCTTAAACTTCTGATTCTCCTGCCTCCCTAGTGCCAGAATTAAGAGCATGTACTACCACACTTGGTTATATGGTGCTGGGCATGGCACTCAGGGCCTCAGGCATTCAAGCCCCACGTGTTCTTATGTACTGTGAACAATGAACACAAACTTTTAATGTATAGGAATGATGTTGAATTTCATACTTCATTCTATAGATGGATTTTTCTTTGGGCCACCATCCCACAAAAAATAACATGGAGACTTATCATTAGTTATGAAAGCTCGGCCTATACCTTAGGTTTGTTTGACTAGCTCTTATAATTTAAATTAACTCATTTTTATTCATCTACGTGTTGCCATGTGACTCCTGGCTTTTACCTCTCCTGCATGTCTTGTTCTCCCTGGGTCTGGCTCGAAGCAACTCTTCCTTTCTTCTTCCCAGAGCTCTCTCTGTCCAGAAGTCCCGCCTAACCTCTTCCTACTTAGCTAATGGCCATTCCGCTCTTTATTGAATCTTTACATCTTCACACAGTGTAAAGGAATATCCCACAACATCATTCTGTTTCCTACTTTCCTACTTCAGTGTTGTGTCTTTAGGATCTATAGAGTTCTTCTACAGAACAAGTTCTTCTACAAGCTCAGAGCATCTTTTGATTTCTGGATTATACTCCACAGTCTAAAATCCACCACATTTTGGCAAATACTCTATTAAGGAGAGAATTCTGCCCCTATTCATATGCTAAAGACCCATCCCATCCTACATCAGACTATAAACGTTTTTGGAGAGAGGATTGTTAAAGAAGAAATTAAATGACATCATTAATTAAATGATGTTTAATTACTTGACAATTAAATTAGACCCCAAAAGGTACAAATCAATTACAGACTCTTAATGACTTTCAAAAATTGTTCAGAGACATTTCCTATCTATGGACTACTGTTGGGGTAAAAAATGATGAACTGAGTAATTTGTTCAAAACCTTAGAAGGTGACAAGGACTTAAATAGTACAAGAGAATTATCAGCTGAAGCTGAGAAAGAATTGGTCTTGGTGGAAAAGAAAATACAGGATGCACATGTGGATTGTGAATCCAAAGCTTGATTGCATTTTGGTTATTTTACCCTCTAAGCATTCTCCTACAGGAATTTTAATGCAGAGGGGAGATATTGTTTTGGAATGGATATTTCTACCAAATAAACAGAGTAAAAAATTAAAAACTTATGTAGAGAAGATCTCTGAGTTGATTTTAAAAGCAGGAATTAGCAGGAATAGACCCAGTAGAGATTGCAGTACCTTTAACTAATGATGAAATTGGCAAATTATGGGCAGAAAGTGAACCTTGGCAAAGAGCTTGCAGTAATTTTTTGGGAGAGATTAACAGCAAATACCCCCAAAGCGATAGAATCCAACTTATAAAAAGAGCTAACTGGATCCTGCCTCAAATTGTATAGGAAACACCAATATCTGGAGCCCCTACATTTTATACAGATGCAAACAAATGCTGGGGGATGTCTTTCTGTATGCTGTAAATATATGTTGTTTCTATTGGTTAATAAATAAACTTCTTTGGCCTATGGCAAGGCAGCTTAGAGACAGGTGGGAAATCCAAGGAGAGAGACAGGAAAGAGAAGGGAAGAATCTGGAGAGAGATGCCAGCTGCCACCGCCAAGGAACAACATGCCAGCAGACTGGTAAGCCACAGAACACTTGACAAAACATAGATTAGTAGAAATGGGTTAATTTAAGATATAAGAGCTAGCTAGCAAGAGGCCTGCCATAGACCATACAGTGTGTAATAATATTAAGCCTCTGAGTGATTATTTTCTAAGCAGCTGTGGGACCGCAGCTGGGCAGGACCACAGCTGGGCAGGACCGGAGAAAACTTGTGGCTATACAAACCTATGTATTTTGTTGCAGCAGCCCTAGCAAACTGCTACACACTCTCTCCATGATGAGCAAATCCTAACTTCTGAAACGTTCTGAGGTCAGCTGAGAGCTCTTGCTATGAAGCTGATAAACCTGTACAGCTGACCCTGGAGCCACTTCAGGCTGGCTTCCATAAGAAACTGGGACGCATGTCCTGTGGGGTTCTGAATCTTCCACTTTTGAACCTTGCTAACTGAAAGCCTGGCAGGGAGAAGGGAGGATTTCTATGTCCAAAGATGTAACAACTGGCTGAATGACCCAAGACATAAGCGGGTTTCACTGCTTGGACTGACAAAAGGCGAAACTCCACCATTGGTCCTAATGCGTGCTTTAGTTAACAGGAACTCTCAGGCCAGTGAGAAACACAAATTGCCATGGTATATATTGGAAGGCAGCATGGCAACCTCATAGCGTTAGCCTTATGAAACTGTTGTTTCTTTATGTCAAAGTGATTAAATACAAAATGTCACTTTATCCAACCAATATAAAAAAACTGTTCTTAAGGTGTTTGAGAGATGACTCAGTGGTTAGTAGCACTAGCTGCTCTTCCGGATAATTGGGTTTAGTTCTCAGCACCCACATGGTGGTTCACTACTATCCCTTACTCCAGTTCCAGGGGATGCAACACCCTCCTCTGATCTCTTTCGGGCACCAGGCACACATGTGTTATACATACATTCATGCCTTTTAAACACTCATATACATAATATAAAAATAAATTGATGTCACATTTTAAAAATTGCCTATGGAGATAAAGGCATTAGAATAATGTAGTTCTTCATAAAAAGGTGTATTATAGCATTGTAGATAGGCATGGAGCAGGACACCATTAGAAGCAACTCCAGCATTGAGGAGTTAATGGTTATACACCTCAATTATGGAATATTACCAAACAAATAATAAACTGTATCTATCTATTTGGAAGATGACTGGGACATTAAATCAGAAAAAAAGGGACAAAATATCCCCTTTAGAAAGACCCTGAGGCTGGGGACTGCTCATCGGCAGAGTGCATGCTTAACATGTGTGAGGCTGGGCTTTAATCCTCAGCACAAATGAACATGGAAGTGAAGAAATAGAATGAGTCTCATTTGGTCAGAAATAGGGAAATCCTTTATGTGTATTTCTGAATCATCACAGAAAATGAGTGAAAAGCAAATAGCCACTCACGATTGTGAACTCGAAGAGGAGGCCGCAGAGGAGATGATAAGGTTAAAACATTTCTGTACTCTTTCTTTCTATCACATGGCTTACAGAGACTAGACTAAGGTTGGTGATTCATCAACAAATACCATGTGGGTTGCCAGCCAAGAGCTCAAATGGTACTGAGATCCAGCACTCCTTGTGCCACGTGCTGGTACTAATGTGAGACACAAAGATGGGAAATGAGAGGGACAAGAGAAGGGGAAGAGCTGGCCACTCAAACATCTGGCTGGTTTCCTACTGGGGATCAGAAACGTCAACATGAAATGTTGAGACTGCCTATGGAGAAGCCGGTGTTCTTCAGACACGGCTGTTTAAAGAATGGTTGTGACATTTGTGGTTGTGAAGGCCTGAGCACACCCTGAGCAATGTCCCTCAGGAAGCCTCCTTAAGATTTCATTTATGAAGGACTGTCTTTAGGAGAAAGAAAACCAGCTCGCACCCCCTCCCCAACCCACCCCTCGCGCCAATCTTTAAGCTTAGGTGTAAATTACATTCTTTGAGCAATGTGACTTAGGGATGGTGAAGCCACCCAAGGGCATAGTTTTCTAAACGTCTCACTTCAATCTAAAGCAGGTGTCAAACCTCACCTCCAATAAACTAGCTGACTTTCTCCACTGATTCCCCGGAATCCTCTAGTCAAGGATGGGACTTCACGTGACGGAGGTCCTGAGCTGGGAACTCCTCAGGTGGCTGGCAGCAAGCGGTGTACTGCCATAACTATGTTTTAACTTATTCTTTACAAAATATACTCTTAGATGTCATGGCTGCTCGCCTTCTTTGTTAAGGCTTCAGAGAAGCTAGCACCTGCCTCTCCCAGGGACATGACATCGTGACAGCAGCAGCAGTTAGCTTAATTAACGCGGGCCAGAGGTGGCAGGATTTTGCCTGAATTAACTGGGTAATTTCATGATTTCTTTGGTTCTGATCTTGCAAACATAAATCGGGTTCTTCAGTAAAAAATATTTTTATTATTTAGAACACAGCGAGACGCCTACACACACAAGCCCCTCCCATTGTCCCTCCCCTGCTGTGCTGTGACCCTCTGTAGATCACAGCTCCAAGACTTCCAGAAGCTGCTCCTCCCTGGAGAAGACCGCCCCTCTCCGACCGCCCAGCCAAAGTCGAGTCTGGCGCTCAGCTGAGGATTCACTGCGGCTTCCCAGGGAAGGAGTTTCTGCGAGCTTCTGTAAGTAGACACTCTTGCTATTTTTGGTCCCTCTCCTTTTTCTCTTCCCTCCCCCGACCGGTTCTTTCTCCCCGCTGAGCATCTAGAGCCTCGTTGAGCAAGTGAGCGCTGGCGGTCCTCCCACTCCCACCCCACCGGTGCGCAATGATCCCTGGGTTCTGCACACAGGAAGTTAGGGAGCCCAGGATCGCCTCCCGGTCCCTGCAGGTTCTTGGAGAGATTGAGACCTAGGGGAAGGGCAAAGTCCGCCGGCAGTCCGATCGCACGTACGTGCCGCGGAACTTCCAGCACCCTGGAAGGTCTGGGCTAGGAGTTTGCAGGATTGCTAAACTGAAGCTGGTAACGTAGGGGATTCGCGCATGCGCGGTACGAAGCCAGGCGAGCTGGCCAGGTCTTGCACCAAGGCACTGTACTAGAACCCTTTCCAAAGGGGTCCTTCTAGACTTGTGGCAAGTTCAGAAGGACCAGGCGCTGCCTTTTTGAAAAGTGAGACGGAAATATGCAGTCTTGAAACAAAATGGAAATCCTCCTGTGAGATGGTTCCGCTGGTGAAGGTGATTGCCAGCCAAGTCCTACAACCTGAGTTCGATACCTGGAACCCACGGGTGGAAGGCGCGAACCCACTCCTGAAGGTGGTCTTCCGACCTCTACAAGCTCTCGGTGACACGCATGCGCCCTCACCCACACACCTGCATCATGCACACCCAAAATAATAACAATAAACTAGACTCGAGCTGAGCTTGGTGGCACGTGCCTGCTATCCCAGCATGTGGGATCAAGACAACAGGGGGTTCCAAAACAGCTTCTGCAACATGATGAGTTCAAGGCCAACCTGGGCTACACAGCCAAGCCCTGTGTCAGAAACACAACAAATTGAACTCAGAAATGTGGGGTAGAGTGATAGTTATCAGAGGTTGTAATCGGAGGCTTTTCTCTGTCCCGCACCGGTCTGCAGCTGCTTCTAAATAATCACTTAAAAGCTTATAGTAATTATAAATGCTCGGCCCAGAAAGACATCCCACAGCAAGAGGCTGAGAAGGGTTGGAAGTGTTGGTCAAAGGGCACAGACAGGAGTGTGACTCTTGACAACAATAATTATTAATTCAAAACAAGCAGGTTTCAAATGTCTCATCCTAAAATGGTAGGTAAAGAATGGGTGTGCTAAGCACTCTACATTGCATACACTGTGTCCTAGTAATGCAAGCTGTTATCTGCAGTTAAAAACCTTTCTTAGGGGGGATGGTGTGTGTGTGTGGGGGGGGGAGGGGTTGGAGAGGTGACTCAGCAGTTAAGAGCACTTCTTCTCCAAGAGCTCTGGGTTTCGATTATCAGCACCACAGGATGGCTCACATGAGGATCGGATAGCAAGATCACTAAGTGGTGTTGGTTGTTTTTGCTCTTTTGGGGGGCCTGTCCCCCAGTTCCAAAATAAATCACACAGGGAGGCTTACTCTTAATTATAAATGCCCGGCCTTAGCTCGGCTTGTTGTTATGTGAACCCACGAGGGCCTGTTAAAAGATCACAAGGATTTATTAAGGTATAAAATGGGGATAATACATTCACTGATACAGAATAAGGAAGAGTCTGCCTTTCATCCAGCCGTCATTGTCCTCTGTTCTGCCCAGGGCCGATGGGAACCAACCATCCTGCTCCATCCCCCCCAAGAGAGCACCGGACCCCTATTCTTCTGTTCTTAGGGCTTTCTACCCCAAAGCCATTGGCTGAAAGGAACGAATTCCCACAACAGCTTGTTGCTAGCCAGCTTTTCTTAAATCATCCCATCTATCTTTGGCCTTGGGGTTTTTATCTTCCTTTAATCCTGTATACCTCTTCTTTCCTTCTTACTCTGTGTCTGGCTGTGTGGCTGGCCCCTGAAGTCTTCCTCCTTCCTCTCTTTTTCCTTCTTCTTCCTTCCAGATTTCTCCTTTTATTTCTTCTCTCTGCCTGCCAATCCCACCTATCCCTTCTCCTGCCTTGCTGTTCAGTTCTTTATTAGACCATCAGGTGTTTTAGACAGGCACAGTAACACAGCTTCACAGAGTTAAACAAATGCAACATAAACAAAAGTAACACACCTTAAAATAATAATCTACTACAGCTAAGGCCAGCCTGGGCTTCAAGAACCCCTGACTAAAAGAGACAAGTAGATGGGAAGACCTGGGCTTTGGATTCGCTGGCTCACTGCCCTCCTGTCAGGCTCTTTCCAAGAGTGAGAAGGACACAGTGAGCAAACCGGTCAGCCTTGCGTGCTTATCTGGAGAGTTCACTGAGGTCCACAAGATGATGTGTAGCTCTGTGCCACAAACCTTTTAAAAGCACAAGAGCCGGTTCGATTATTTATTTGTTTTGCCTGGAGGCAAGTTTAAACTTCCTTATGAGAGCCAAACCCAGAGAAAATGAGATGGAGCAGCGGCGCCCCCCAGTGGCTATGAGGTCCATGCATCTGTAGGGGAAAAAGGCATGGACTTTGGTACCTGCATTTGAGGCATTTCCTGGAGAGTCACTGCAGGAGATCGAGAAACTGCGGGACTTTGAGCGCTCGTTAGTTGTTTAATGCCCTAGAGAAACTCCAGTTTGGCCCGGACAGAATTTGCCAGTCTGCATTTTCTTTGCCTTGAGAGTTTGTTTTAGCCTTTTTCTACATCGGTACACCTGAAGTGATTGATAACAATGACTCTTACAGAAAAGTCATGGGGCTAAAATGAGATCAGACATATGAATAGAGCCTAGCATAATCCCAAAAAGTTCTAAATGGATGTGATAAAATGATAATAGGGTTGTGTTTTCTGGCCTCAGTGCTATGCCTAGGGAATATAAGATGGTCATTGACCACATGTTTACCATGTTCTAGGTACATCAGGATGGTGCAGGCCAAGAGCTGGACCCTGAAGAAGCACTTTGAAGGCTTCCCTACTGACAGTAACTTCGAGTTGAAGACTACTGAACTCCCACCCTTAAAAGATGGAGGTAATGCAGAGCTGGCAGAGGCCGTATCAGCTAGCTTCTGCCACCTAGTGGAGAATCCCCGACTTTGACTTTGACTTCAGATATTTTCTTTATTGGTTTACAGTTCTGAATGTTAGCCGTTTAGGTTGGTCTAAGCTGAGTGGTTCCTTGTAGGTCTCACCTGGCCTAAATGGTTAATTACTTTAGGATAAGTCTCGTTCACCTGATAGAAGGCTTTCTGCCTGGTCCAGGCTGCAGTTCTCTGATTCGTGGACAGCCAGATTGGGCTCTTTTCTTGCAGTGGTCTTGTGGATGTAGAACCTGGGTTTTGTGGATGTAGAACAGCCTGGGTTTTGTGGATGTAGAACCTGGGTCTTGTGGATGTAGAACCTGGGTCTTGTGGAT